CAGCAATCATTGGGTTGTTTCCTTGTGTATAAGAACATTGATATGCATGTTTTGCAGGTGGACATTTGGGAGTATGAGATATGAGTGCGAGACTGCATGTGCCTTTTTGATACGTGTATATGCATTTATGTAATTAGTCTTTTCTTACTTACAATCCCCTTGGAGTCTACTTACCCTTATATTTGTCGAGTCCAGGGACGGGGACCAAAGTTTACGGTCAAATTATTTTCAAAATGAGGTATCTTATGTCTAGTAAAACAGAAAGATACGTTTAGGCTTGTTGTAGTTAGCTTTGGCCTTTATTTTTGTAGTTCTAGGTGATTAAAAGCAGTGCTTGTCAAGACTTGTTTGTCAGGATCAATGATCGGTCGGCTTATCTTAATGTTCTATTAATGCAGTATGAACCAGAACTCTTTCCAGGCCTGATCTATCGAATGAAACAACCAAAGATTGTGCTTCTTATTTTTTGTGTCAGGGAAGATTGTGATCACCGGAGCTAAGGTGATACATCGGGCCTGCCCGTCTTCAATGTTCATGCAAGTTGTTTATGATTTACTAATTTTCGTTGTTTGAGTCTCAGGTGAGAGATGAGACGTACACCGCCTTCGAAAACATATACCCTGTCCTTACAGAGTTCAGGAAAAACCAACAATGGTAAGAAACTACACCCTCTCCCTTCCCTCTAAAGTGATTGATTCTTATTATTTTTGTGATCGTCTCAGAAGAACGTTGCGGACATACCTCCTATGCCATGGTGTTCGGGAGTTAGATTTCAAGTATAAATATATAGCAAACAAGGGAATCCGGTCCGTGAGATCGGCATCTATCTTTTCGGTTGTAGTTGTTTCCGTTGCCCTAAAAGTCAGTAGGGTGATTAAATGCTAGAAAATGCTGAGAACCTGTGAATGGGATCAGCTTCCATAAGTTTTCTTGTCATGCATGAATCCCTAAACCCTACTGTTACATATTGAATATTTAGGGTTCGTCCGACCTTGTAATATGAGGGACTTCTCGCCATAATCAACTCAACTTTAAACAATACAAATTGGAAAGTGCCGTGGATGATTATAGAATTTATATGTAATTTTAAAAGGTTTGGTTAGTTGCTCACTAACTTATATCACAAACAAGTACCTAAAAGTATACACACTTCATTTAAATATCTGAAGTATTTTTTTGATCAAAATAGATATCTAGAGTTATCTTTTTGGTCAAAATAATACCCAAGTTGTCTAAACATTTTCATTTAAGTTCTAAAAAATTTCTAAAATAATTAATATGTTGCATTAATTAAAGAAAATTTTAGGTACTTGAATAAAAAAATTGAATACTTTAGGTGTCTGTTTTGATAAAAAAATATATATTAGGTACATATTTTGACTAAAAGGATAACTTTAAATATTTATTTTAATAAAAAAATATTTTAGATACTTAAATGAAAAAAGATATATTTTAGTTACTTATTTGTTATATAAACCTTATTCATTATTCAACTTTCACATAGATATATTTTTTTAATTTCTCAATTTTATTTATATATGGTCTCATTAAAACTTACATTTCAAAATATCATATTTATTTATTTATTATACATTATATTATTAAAAATATTTATAAATTTAATGATGTCATATTGTAATTTTTTTAGGTTAGTTATATCAAATGTCTCTTAAATTAAATCGTATAATGAAATCAAAAACTTATGTAAAGGCTAAAGGGACTTGTTGATAATATAAATTCAAAATTTTTTTCTTAGTGAACTCAAAATATAATTTCATATTCTTATTGGTATACCGATTTTGAGTGTTTCTTTTACAAATTTTAATATATATTTTCTAAATTTTTGATGATGTGATTGGAAATGAGCAAAATAACTTACCTCAAGTAAGAATCAAAATAATTTATTTTAATTTAAATAGTCTAAGGTGATTATAAAGTACTTTTTTCTATTTATTAATAATATAAATAAAATTTATAGATATAGTTGTTCGAGTCCAGGATCTTAAAATAAATATTTCCTTTAATAACTAAGGTTATTAAATGGATCAATTTAGCAATTTATTATTGTTATGTCACGATTTCGTCAATTTGATAAAAACTAAACGTTCAAAGATCTCAATGTAAGTTAAAAGGTTAAAAGGACTAAAGTGGTTAAGTTAGAGGGCCAAAAAGGATATTTTGTCTTTCTTAATTAAAAAAGGCATAATTATACAATAAGTGCCTAAATTATATCGCTTTTCTTAAATAGGCGTCTAACGTTACAAATGTTATTGCTTTAGGTGCTTGATGTAACAATCCAAATTCTGGGCTAGTAGTTTCGGCTTTACCAGAGTGGTTTGTGAACCTTGTGCATGTTCGTAATTTAAGTCGTTGAGCTGAGTTAAGCTTAATTAGGTTGGAATTAGGTTCAATTAACCATAAAAAGAGAATTTTTGAATAAAAGACAAAATACGAAGGACCAAAAGGGTAATTATCCTGTTGAAGAAAAACAATGTTGATATTAGGGGTTTTATTTCATTTTGAGGCGTGAGTTTTTGTTGGCTAAAAAGCCTTTCATCTTCTTCATTTTTCTTTTTCTGTTCTTCTCCAAGTTTCATAGATCAAAGTGGAAGGTAAGATCTTCCTTCCTCACTTCTGTAAACTAGAAATTCATCCCCAATCCTTCCTATAATCTTCTTTGTGTTAAGGGATTCATGAGTTTCTTATTTGGCTAGAAAAAATGAGTTTTCATCTATATCTTAGAGGAAGGGAATGTCACTAAGTAAGGAGTTTCATTTCGGGGTTCTAACAACAAGATAGTGTATTTATAATCCTTTGAAGTGATATGGCTTTCATAAATATAAAGAATTGCTAGGATTTGTGTATTTGAATATTTTAGGATTTATACTTGATTTCACGATTAAATGACGTTTTAAATGTAAAGAATGTATTTTTATGTCACTTTAAGACCCTAAGTAACTTTCCAAAGCTTTAGCCCATGATTAGGAACCAAACTAAGACCTTTAAGGTGATTTTTGGGTGTTTCCCAAGCCTAAGAGAGAGAGATTTCTGGGGTAGAAGTATCGATACTGGAAGTAAAATATCTATACTTCATAAATCCAACGTTGGAAAAAGGTCCTAAATCTAGCGCTAGAAACAGGTCCTAAATCTGATGCTGGAAAAATGTATCGATACTGGAAATAGGAGTATCGTACTTCCCCTCTGGTATCGATACTGAGTGTACCTAGTATCGATATTGGGACATTTTTTAGCAAACATAAGCCATTTTTGGTATCGATACTTATGGGAGTATTGATACTTGACCCTAGGGTATTGATACTACAAGTAGAATATCGATACTACCCATTTTGGATGATTAAATTTGACCTCGTTAAGGCCTATAAGAGTCAAGGATGATCCGTAATGATAAAACTTAGTCTGTGAGGAACATAAATGACCAAAGAGGTCTAGAAACACTCTTAGGAGTGGGTTACAAACATCTAACAACAAACACAATAATTATCGTAAAATCAAGAAACGTGTAAAGCCTTCTCTAGAGACAGAGAATGACTAAAACACCCTTAAGTAACGAATGACTATAATAGAGCCACTTAATAAACTAAAAGAAGCAACATACTGATAAACTCTTGCATAACGTTCTAGGTAAGAGGACGAGCGAGATAACAACTAGTGAGAGGGTGAACTCACCTTAGTGTGTCTAGCTTTGCTAGAGTGTAGCCATGCTACCTTAGTTACCCTAGTGGGACATTATTAGTATTATGCAGCCTTAGGACCCTTAGTCATGCATGTATAGTTGCATCAGTCTAGTAAATCATATATCCTTAAAGCTTGGTTTGACGGTTGTGTGAGACTGAGGAAATACTTGAGTTGAGTGGGAATCGTACCGATGTTATATGACATTGGGTTGCCCCTCTATGATCTACCTTATGGCTATGTAAGACCATGAGATCATTCAGCAGCTTAGTGAGAATTTTACTGATGCTATGTGACACCGAGTTCCCTAACTAGTGTATGATGGTTATGTGAGACCAGATACTAACAAAGTGTTGCATTCAGATAATGCACATCAGCGTTAGTGTCACATTCAGATAATGCATAACAGTACATTTACTAAAGTTATAGGCCCTTTAGAGGTGTACTTATGGTGAGACCCTTAGTAGAGGACTAAGAGAAGCATGAGACCTTACTTTAGTGATAAACAGTTAAACCTTAAGTATGTAGCACTTGATTAAGATCATACATGTATCTACTATTTGGTACCATGTTTTTAGCATGTTTGTGTTTATGAAACTCATAATGGTACTCTAGATAAGCAATTATATTGTTGGGATTTGTAAGCTCAGCGTTGGATGTTTTCCGTTCGCAGGTCAGTAGCTAGAGTTGATCATGGAGCATCGTCGCAGCATGACTTCCAACACCTCAGTCAGAGTATTGTATTGTAGCTTTAGTGGACATATGTATTCATAGAACCTTACTCTTGTATTCATATACATAACTCTGAGTTTGTATTGTTTTGATTTTAAATTATGTGTCACGGAGCTCTGATTTTATAAAGTGTTTTCATAATTGTTATTCATGTCTATTATGATATTATTTAGTATGTTTGAAAAGAAAATGAACATGCTTTGAAAATCAAGGGTTGCCTCTGTGGCCCAATGTGACACTTTAGGTCCATTCGAGTTTGGGGTGTTACACTTGATTTGTAACGATTGTTAAATTTCACTGTTAAATGTAACATGTTGAATTTATATTTTTTTGGATATTTTTTATTTATAAAACAAAAAAAACATTTAAAAAAATTTCTTAAAAAATATTAATATTTTATCTCCCATGCCCTTGCGCCCTTATATAAAAGAAAGGATCATGCATTATATAAAAGAAAGGAGGGTAAATTGGTCATTTAGGTGAGTCGAAAAGAAGATATTATTCCGTGAGCCCATGTGGCAGCGGTTTATTCCGTGAAACTCTCAGTCTCTCTTTCTTGGAAATAAAATTCAAAAGACGGATCCTTTGTCTGCTAGCTCGGTTAAACAGCAACATTAACTACTCTGATTCAACTTGTCCGAATGCTAAATGGCTCAATTCACAACACAAGGGCGTTTGAAGCTGCTCTTCCATGGCGATGGAGTGGAACCGAGGGACCCTTTTCATTACAAGCTCCTTTCCATTGTTTTTGGTGGTTCTGCCGGGCTTAAATCACTTCAACTTCAAAAGGGTATGTTCAGATTTCTCGGTTCCACTCCTAGAAAACATCATTTTTCTTCTTTAAAGAAACGCACCAAATTTAATGCAAAGGCGAGTCTTGATGTTAGTGATGAAGGAATTCATGATGATGATGATTATGATAGTGAGCTTGAAATTGACGAGTTGGCTTGTTTTAGAGGTCTTGTTTTGGATATCTCTTACAGGTAATTTTTGATTTCATTTACCCATTCTTTTTCTTGTTTGATTTTGATGCTTTCTTTTGCTATTTCAGCTATGTAAACTGAATGTGCATAGCGTTTAAGCCATTGATTGTTGAATGTATTGGTGAATTATCTGATAGTGTTTTACCTTGTGTTCAATCTGCAACATGAATTCTCTTTTTCCTAGATACCTTTCTAATGATTTGAACTGGTTTTCTTACGATTTTTGGGATTCGGTTCCGATGTCGACGTCCCGACAGGCCGATCAATGTTGTTTGCTGGAGGCGTGCTATATGTTTGGAGTTCATGGAGAAGGTTGGATAGTGTGGCTCACCATTTCATTTTAGATGTTTGGGTGGAAAGCCATGTGACGCTTTTAGTTTTCTTACACTTATACTCGCATTCATGAATGAAACATGCATAGAGAAACTATGATGATTAAAGGTCCCTCACAATCCATGGAAAAACTTCGGAAAAAAACGAACATAGTATCGAATTCGTTCTTTTCAATGTTTAAGTTCCTTTTATCATGCTTTTATCCAGGCTGATGTTCTAGAGTACTATGATCAGACCGTGAACTCGCCGAGTGGATCCTTCAACATACCAGCTGTGTTAAGGGTATGAAACTGAGGATCATTTTTGCCTTCTTTTTTGAACTTTCCTCATCCTCATTTGACTTACTCCGCTCCATTCGATGTTGTTCTTTACGCTCCCAGATTCCTCATCTTCTGCAAGTTGTTAAAAGAAGAAGAATCAGCACCAATCTAAGTCGAAAAAATGTTCTATTTAGGGACAACTTTACTTGTCAGTAAGTCGTTGTAACAATTATCTGATGTCAGTTCATTTCAAGAACAGTTATCTGTTGCTTTCCGAGCTTCTTTCGGTCGATGTTTCCGTTGTCAACAGGTATTGCCGTTCTCGCGATAACTTGACCATCGACCATGTTCTTCCAATTGCAAGAGGAGGGGAATGGACATGGGAGAATCTGGTAAGATGGCCTATTAAACAGGTAGTGGACTCTCTATTTGTGGATCAGTTCCATTGACTGTTGTTTGAGCCATAGGTGACTGCTTGTGCCAAGTGCAATTCGAAGAAAGGTCGAAAAACACCGGAGGAAGCAAACATGACGTTGATTAAGGTCCCCAAGGTATCTTCCCTGCACAATCAGCATGAGATCAATTTTCATCTTTGGGAATCAAGATCTTGTTACCTTCATTGTGCAGGCTCCCAAGGATTACGACATACTTGCGATACCGCTAACAAGTGCGGCGGTACGGATGTTGAGGATGAGAAACGGGACGCCGGAAGAATGGCAGCAGTATCTCTCCTCTTCCATGGAGCCTTAACCTGCTGTACATTCTTAAATCTTCATACATATCAGATAAGTCCCTCATTTTCTACACTGCATTCAGAAGTCGGTATCGTATTTGGACATCCGATTCGGGAAATGGATGTATTCATGTCTACAAAGTGGTTAACATCGCCCCCTATAATTGTTTAACCATAGCATTGTATAATGTTACTGTCGTAACCGTTTTTCGGCGGGACAATCGTTTAATTGTTTAAAAACAGTTACGACTTTTATTTTGGAAAATAGGTAATTTTGAATTAATTTGCTTAAATCGAATAGAGTCTCGCCGACCTTTGAGTTAGGTAGGTCGAATACCTAGAAACGTCTTTTTTTTAAAAATAATTTTAAGAAAAATCGTTTTTTAAGACAAAAGTTGATCTGCGTTTACCAAAGATTCGATTAAAACGAGTTCGAGAGTCGGTTATGCGTGGGGAAGCATTAGCACCCCCTCAGCGCCCAAAATTAGTACTGTGTCGTTTACATGTTGTCGTAATGATAGAAATCCAAGAATTCAAAATATGAATTTAATTTATGATCTTATTATTCCAGATTCAATTGCATAATTGTAATTCAAGAAAATTCTAAGGAAAAACAGAAAATATTCTAATATTTCCAATCGAAGAAAAAATAATCCCTAAAATACTTTAGGACGAATATTTCTCTTTCCGACTGAAATAATAAGAATATAATAATTCTTCCAAAGAAATAATTAAAATAATTTGATTTAACTAAACTAGATATATTTGATTTTCAAGTTCTATAAACAAGGTATTTATTTATTTTAAAATATCAGAATATGACATCTTTATACAAAAATTATATACATCTTTTATAACTATACATTATAACTTATATATATATTATTAATTTGTAAAAAACATACCACATCCAACTTCAAAAATTTTAAAAAATAATTATACAAATTAAAATATTGACTAAATAACTTACTATTTTAAATACAAACCAGATAATAACTAAGGTCAAAATATCAGAATTATAATAAAAATGAAACTAAAGCACAACACCATTATAAAGGACTAACATCGAAATAAACCCTAAACAAGATCATAACTAAAAAATAACATTTAAAAATGTAAAAGTTGAATGTCTAAATACAACAAAAATTAAATATACTATTATTTAGGACTAAAATAGAAAATGTGAAACTTAAAGATCAAAAACTTGAAATAATGTAAATAACAGACACTGGGGACCGAAATGGAATGCACCTAAAATTAAAAACCAAATTAAAAATTACAGAACTTCGAAGCAAGTACCGAATCACAACAATTTCAAATTAAAAGGATCCTTACGTGATTAAACCCCACACCCCTACTCTAGCCTTAAACACTGTCGTTTTATCCCAAATTAATTAAAACCTATCATTTAACCTAAAAACAAAATATCATTCATCCTAAACTTATTCCCAAAGCTCCGTTCTTCTTCTCCACTTTTCTACTCATTCCTTTCTTCTTCTTCCCACGACCGAGACCCAAAGCCGAACGAAACCAATAATACCTGGCGCGATTCCGATCTCCAAACACCGACTATGACGACCGATGAGACTAAATCCCCCCTAAATCGACCTTAAATCTTCAAAGGATCTCTCCTACCTCTCGGTTTTCCAATTTTCATAGACTTGAACCGCCAACTACCCCCTAAGATCAACCAAACGAGATCCTAACCGAGAACCTCCCTGTTGACTAGCTCCTAACCGGCGAAAAGAAAAGACAACTAAGGTAACTAAAACCCCTTCCTTCTCTTATTTTCTGCTTTGTATGATTTAATCTGAAATTAAAGGAATAAATGAAGCCAAAAACGTAAAATAATGAAAGAAGAATGCTCGTTGCTCTTTCTTTTCGTATTAATTTCTTGAAAATGGGAAGTGAATACAACAAATTTATTCCAGTCCCTTTCCCCGAAAATGTTCTCTGTATTCTCGAAATGTTTCTGATTTTCCTATTCTAATAGCCTCCAAAACGTGTTTTTGTTCGAATCAGAACCCCCTGTTCGTGAATTCTCCTCTTTTCTCCATGATCTTTTTCTCTATTTTATGGTTGCATATGTAGTGGATTTTTCACTAATGTTTATTTAATGGAGGATTAGGTTTGTTTATTTTAAGACTTAGTGGTAGATAATGGTTGATTTATGGATGGTGGACGTGTTGATGTTTATTTAGTGATAGGGTATAGCAACCAATTTTCTGGTATTTATTTTTGGTTTAGTGGATTTAATGGTTTAGGTAAAATTTGAGTGGGGGTTCTTTGCAAGTGGGTGAGTGGAAAGGTGAAGCACATGTAGTGTAAAAAATGATGCTGACAGCTGCCCCTCTTTGCTTATTGTTGTGAAACGGGAATGAAGCAAAGATAATAAAGCATCATTTTTATCTTGGTCTCTTCTTATCATGCTGCGAACTCCTCACTGAGAATGTCAATTCTTCTCTTCCTGTGAAATTCGTCGGGTCCTTGTAGCAAATGATGTCATCCTTTGATTCATTCTCTTGGTTGAATCTTCATATTCAATTCCTCGGGTTATGGGTTCTTTTGTAGTGAATTTGAAAGGAACAAGTTATTCTCATTATGAACTTTCTCCTTTAGGACGAGCTCTTCTCATTATGAACTCTTCTAGAAATGTTGGTCCCTTAAGTAATGCGTCACTAATTCGAAATGTCGTGAATCAAGTGATAGGTCAAACAAGCTCTTTTCATTATGAACTTCTTCTCCCTCTGTCGGATGAGTTCTTCTCATTATGAACTCTCCATTGGAAACAATGATGTGAGATCGAACAAGTTCTTCTCATTATGAACTTCTTCTCTCTCGTTGGATGAGTTCTTCTCATTATGAACTCTCCATTGGAAATGTTGATCCATCTCATTCTGTGATGGAATTGAAAGGAACAAGTTCTTCTCATTATGAACTTTTTCCTTTATGACGAGTTCTTCTCATTATGAACTCTTCTGGAAATGTCAATCCCTCAAGTGAGGCGTCACTGATTTGAAATGCCATGAACCGAGTGATAGGTCGAACAAGCTCTTATCATTATGAACTTTTTCTTCCTCTGTCGGATGAGTTCTTCTCATTATAAACTCTCCATTGGAAATGTCAATCCCTCAAGTGAGGCGTCACTGATTCAAAATATCGTGAATCGAGTGATAGGTCGAACAAGCTCTTCTCATTATGAACTTCTTCTTTCTCTTTCGGATGAGTTCTTCTCATTATGAACTCTCCATTGAAAATGTTGATCTGTTTATCTTTTCTTTGAAGATTTTCAAACCTACAAAAGATTATCATGTGTCAGTAATAATTGTGTTTGAAGTACCCGAAGGTATTGACCCAAAGGTTCTCGAATCTTTGTTGAGATCCATTTATTTCAATGGTGAAAAATATGGATTGATTCTTTGATGAAGTCGTGAAATCTTTGTTGGCTCTTTGAATTCCTGTCAGATATTTAACACTTGATGAAAATTAACAAAAAACTTGTTTTAAGAGAAGCTCTCTTGAGTGAGATAAATTTTATTTTGAAGGAAAATTGTCTCAAGCAAGACGAAGTAAGTTTTAAGAAAAAACATCTCAAGTGAGATTAAATTTCTTGTTTCAAGGGAAAGCTGTCTCAAGCGAGACGAATTTGGTTTTAAGAAAAACCATCTCAAGGGAGACAAAACTTTGTTTCAAGAGAAACTGTCTCAAGGGAGACAAAATTCGTTTCAAAGGAAACTGTCTCAAGGGAGACAAAATTCGTTTCAAGGGAAACTGTCTCAAGGGAGACAAAATTTATTTCAAGGGAAACTATCTCAAGGGAGACAAAATTCGTTTCAAAGGAAACTGTCTCAAGGGAGAGAAAATTCGTTTCAAGGGAAACTGTCTAAAGGGTGACAAAATTCGTTTCAAGGGAAACTGTCTCAAGGGAGACAAAATTCGTTTCAAGGGAAACTGTTTCAAGGGAGACAAAATTCGTTTCAATGGAAACTTTTCAAAGTTTATGTTTCAAGAGAAACTGCCTCAAGAGAGACAAAACTTTCTGTTTCAAGGGAAAATATCTCAAGAGAGACAAAATTCGTTTCAAGGGAAACGTTTTCAAAGTTTATGTTTCAAGAGAAACTGTCTCAAGGGAGACAAAATTTTGTTTTAAGAAAAACAACATGTAGTGAAATGAAATGTCTTGTTTTGAATAAAACCTGTCTCAAGCGAGACAAATCTTATTTTAAGAAAAACAATATTGAGTCAAATGAAATGTCTTCCTTCAAGTAAAACAGTCTCAAGTGAGACAAAGTTTGTTTTAAGAAAAACAATCTCCAGTGAAATAAATCATTTTATTAAATGAGGTTGTCTCAAGCGAGACAAAGTTTCTATTGGAAATGTTGAATTTGAAGATGATTGTTCCCTCTTTTTTAGGACACCTTGTTGCCTTTTAATCTCATCTTCTCCTTAAAGATTTGCAAAAAATGTATCTGAATGAAACTATCCTGAATGGATGTTTGATGTAAAGATGCAAATTCATGTATGCATGTTCTTCTTGATTAATAACAGTGAAAATGTGCTCAAGCAATCTTGGTTCTCTTCTTGATTTGTTCGTCTTTATTCTTCTCTCACACCAAGGTGTATCATCGCATTTCTTTGCAAACATCTGCTTTTCTGGCTACCTAACATTCAAATTCTTTGCCCCAATTTCTGATTTTGAGCTTTTAGGTCTGAGGGACCTCTGTCAATTTCCAGGTTAAACTCTCCAGAGAGATTGTCCTGTTTGAAAATATTTTCTTTCTTTTTATTTTCAAAATATGGAAAATTTGTTTAAGAAAAATGTCATTCTTTTAGGCTCACAATTAAAGCAAATCACAGAACATAAGTTCAGTAAATATCAAGAGAATTAACAGCTCTTTTAATCTTTCAAAGTTATACCTCTTTGACAAGTGTCAAAATTGATGGGTTGGTTTCATGTTAGCTCCTTAAAGTTTCTAAGGTTTCGACCATCAAAATTTCATTTCATGTTCAATCCCTGTGAACCTTACGACATGCCCCTCTCTTTTGGCTTGACATTTTAATCAGATTCAGACAAAATGAAGCAACTAGCATAGCTAATTACTAAACTTTCTAGAAAACTTCTATTTCAGTTCTCTGAAATCTTCTATTTGTTCAAGCTTCGTAGACTCATCTAACCAAGGTAGTGCAGAAATATCGATCTAAAATTGAAATTTCTGAGTGCCCATGTGAAATTGACTATAACAGGTGTTCCTTAACTCCCTTAGTCCATCTTTACAAAAACTCCTTATTTATAAAATTTGTCATGGTTTGGCTAGCTGAAATCAGCTTTATTGTAATTTGCCTTTATCGGGATAGCTGAAGGGTTCATCTCATCACAAAGTCTTTGACTTGACAATCACAGTGGAGCATATACCGAATTGCCAAGTACCCGATCAAGGTCATGGTTTGAATATAATCTATTCATAAAGTCAGGGCTTTCGAGTTTCCTCTGTAACCAATTGCCTTAGCGGAATAGCTCAGCTTTATTGTATACATATAATATAATCACCTTTATTAGGCTAGCTGAATTCTATCCATAAAGCCGGGGCGTTTAACCAATTACTCTAGGGGGACAGCTCAAGCTTTATTGCATATATAATAATATAAAATGGATATACAGATCAATTTCTTAAGCTTGTCAAGAAAAACCTGTTATAGTCTAGGTGTTGTTGAAAGTCAGAAAATCTCATCGTTAGAGTTCAATTTCCAAGCAACTGACCTAAACTAGATTCACCTACTCGACTATTCCATTTACGAAGATTAGTATCATCACTGAACGTCTTCAACAAAAGTGTAGTCTAGGAAGTTTTGCAATGTCATACACAAGAGATGCCCCATGTTGTCTGCTCCTATTCATACCTGAATGCCAAGCCTTTTGATCATTTCCTCGTGAGAGGAGAAGACTAAAGTGGTCTCTATAAGAGAAGGGTATGGGATTCGAGTATATCATATGTGGTAAGGTCAAGGGTCATTGTTTTATCAGTTTTCAATCTTGTTATTTTGTCAAAGATCTATAACTCTGATTCTTAAAAGAGCTTTTAATCAAAATGATATTCAAAGAATTTCGAGTCTGAAAATTACTCATTGTTCATAACCTCAAAAGGTAGCATTTTACTTAAAATGTTTGATTGTCAAGTGACTTACAAAATTTTTAACGAAAAGAGAAAGAAAATAAATTCAAATAAGATAATATGCGAGTGCATCAAAAGTTCATAGTGGCTGCAATGATTTTTCTCAGTTTGCATCAGAATGCCTTATCATCCTTCGAATGTCCATGCCCCTGAATCGATTAAGTGTTGAACCTTGCGCTTCAATGCCCCACAATTCTCAGTAGTATGCCCCGAGCTTCCCATGTGGTAGCTACATACTGCATTAGCATCATGCCCCTCAGGAAATGGAGGTTCTTTCGGTTTAGACCTAATTGGAGTCACGAGATTCTTCTCAATTAGTATTGGGAGCAACTCTTCATATGTCATCGAAATTTCACCAATAGGGGTCTTCTCTTGAGTCATTTTATAAGGTTTGGCCCCACGATTAGCTGAATAAGAACTCACTGTATTGATATCAACTCCTTTCTTAACATCAGTACTGTCAGAGCCTCCTATCTTGCCATTCCTAATGGCGTTCTCGATTAATTCCCCAGAAATAACCAGGTCAGCAAAGTTCTTGGTAGCATTTCCTACCAGATACCCCGGATATGGAGCCTTCAAGGTATTCACAAAAATAATTGCAGTCTCCTTCTATAGCAATGGGGGTTGTACTTGTGATGCGACATCACGCCACCTTTGGGCATATTGTCGGAAAGTCTCATTACTTCTTTTTTCCATATTTTGAAGAGTCCACCGATCAGGAACCATATCTGTAACATGGCGATACTGTTCTAGGAATGCTTTTGCCAAGTCCTTCCATGATTTGATATGAGCACTAGTTAATTGGTTATACCACTTGGCAGCAAAACCTGTTAAACTGTCTTGAAAACAATGAATCAACAAATTTTCATCATTCACATGACCAGGCATCCTCCGACAAAACATGGCAATATGAGATGAAGGGCAAGTGGTTCCATTGTATTTTTCGAATTCGAGAACCTTGAATTTCATAGGGATGATCAAGTCTGGGACCAAACTCAACTCTCTGGCGTCAGACCCATAGAATGATTCAATTATTTCTACTGATTTTATCATTCCTTCCAATTTTTTCAACTGTTGAGTTATTTGTTCATTGGCTTTTTCCTTCTCGGCTAACTCATTCAAATCTGGGGTTGAGTGCTCAGTAACAGGCTGGGTTTAGGGGTTGAAATGAAGGTTTTCAAAGTTTTAGGGTTGTTTTGAAATTTTTGTGTTTTTTAAATATATATTTTTTAATTTTTTATAAAAATTTTAAAATTTCCAAATTGTGACACAGGTCACTTGATGAAGGAAATTAACTTCGTTAATGACCCTGTAACATTTGTAACGTTAGACACCGAGATTATTCATAAAATAATTTTAATGTATTAGTGAAAAAAGTTTGGAAACTTATTTATATTTAAACCTTCTTTTAATGTTGAGACTTTTCATCATGGGGAGTGTGTTGTCATGCTTGTGGACTTTTGATCCAATGGCTGGACAGAATCAGATCCTTTAGGCACATATCATTTTATCTCTCCCCCTCTTCCATCATTCACCCAAAAAAAAATCTCTTGCCCCTTTACTTACCCTACAATAATTGTTCCCATTGTCCTATTTCTACCCCATGGAGATGACTCTGTCACCTTTACCAGACAGAAAAAAATGCAGCAGCCCCTCACAAGTCCACTAAAAAATTATAGGGTACCCCCTTATTTCGATCTTTTAAATCGATTTGATGTTACTTCTTAAATTGTGATCGAATCGATTGATACGTGGCCGAAATGAGGCAAGACAAATAGGGAGATGGGGTGTTAATGTGGGATGTTCAAAGTTTCCTTGGTTGTTTCACATGGCTTGGTGGTTCAAATGGTGGCCACTGGCCACAACTGAATTACTGTTTGTTTATTGAACGAGTAAATGATCCACCAATTTGGTGGGGACATTCATCAAGCAATTGATAATGGCTGATGTATTGATGTGGGGTACCATGGATGTATGATGTACCATGAGATCTGATTTACAGTGACAGCCCTTATTGTTATAGCACATCCATTAGAAGGGAACACCTAGATTTATGTTATTCGAATACAGGTTTCGGTTTCATGCCCGTATCTTTCGGATTATGTAGGATACAAGTACTTCAACAAATGAATAAAACACTATTGGTACCCTCAGGCCTTCTGCAAGATCAACATCGCCTGATAAAAGCCTGGTTTAAAAGGAAGTTTAACCTTCCATTTTAAAGAATCTAGCAGCTTTAGCAGGTTATATAACTGTAGCAAGCTTCACCACTGTTTATATATATATATATATATATTATTATGTATAGCACTTTCCCCCCAAAATTTTGGACTTTTGGGGTCATTTTTTAAAAACCAGAGCAGGCTTCAGAGTCCAAGCAGGCCTTGGATTTCTGACCCCCACAGTTGCACTCAAACCCCTCTCCTTTGCTCCCTCCATTGCCTCATAAACACAAATTCAAACCTTAAAGTGCAACAAAATTCAAAATTTGTCCCCATATTAGTTAATTTAATAACCCCAAGGAAATGAAATCATAAGACATATTTAAGCAGTAAAAAGAGGAGATATGGGCAAATTGTTTTTTCCTTTTTTATATAATTTCATGGTGATTGAATAAGTTTTGAAATTTGATTGTTTTCTTTAGCTTTATCTGCCGACAGAAAACTAGGCATAAAGAGAGGGGGGCAAGCATATTGAATACAGCTGAGCAAAATACCCCATACTTCTTTAAACCAACATTTATCTCTTCTTCTTCTTCTGTTTGGTGTTCCATTTCAAGTTCCTACCTTTAAGAGCAAAGGAATTTTCTCTTTTGTTTTTCTGTTTGGCCATGGATTTTCTCAGGAATGTGTCGGTCTCCAGTGAGTATCAAGCTCCTACAGCCTCTATTGATGACCTTTTCCCAACTCAAAACACGGTCAGTGGCTCAGTTCCTTGTGTCCTCTTTGCATGCACCTCAAAGGTCTGTTTTTTCTTTCTTTCTAAAGTTTGTGTCTTTTGTACATTGCAGGAAGTTGATGTGAGCTTGGAATGGTTATCTATCTTCGTCGAAGATTGTTTTTCAAGCACCGGGAACTGTATCCCGGTTGTCGAAACGAAACCTCCAACCGCACCGCCACCTACGGCGGCGAAATCCGCGAAGAAACCCCACCAGATGACCCCGCAATCGTCGCAGAATTTCGCGGTTCCATGCAAGGCGAGGAGCAAGAGAAAGAGGGTTTCGAGTTCAGCATCAACGGTATTATCCAAAACCAAAAACAACCCATTTTTCAACTGGTCCTGTAACCTCCAATTGGCCAACTCCGACCCTCTTTTGCTCCAACAACCATGCTGGTTAGCCGACAGTGAACTCATTGAGCCCAAGAAGGAAGACGAGAACAACAACAGTAGTACCATGAAAGAGGGCATCACGGAGGAAGAGAAGCCGTCTGCGGCGGCGGAGGGGCAGCAGGGGAGGAGGTGTAGCCATTGCTTGGCACAAAGGACACCACAGTGGAGGGCAGGACCAATGGGGCCAAAGACACTATGTAATGCATGTGGGGTGAGGTACAAATCAGGGAGGTTGCTGCCAGAGTATAGGCCAGCCAAAAGCCCTACTTTTGTTAGCTATTTGCACTCCAATTCTCACAAGAAAGTCTTGGAGATGAGAATGTCAATTTCTAGTGACAAGTAATTTCTTATCATGAAAACCATCTTTCTTTTACCTCACAATGTAAATCTTAGATAGGATAAAAAATTATTTTAACAAATTCTTCGCCAGTAGTAATGCAGTAATTCCCCTCATCATTAAATATGTTCTTGATGATTGTAATATTTGGGTAAGAAAATGCATACGTGGGGCTGTTTTAATATACAGTTAAAAAATACGTTATCGGTTTTGTTATTTGTTTAAATAATAAAATCGGTTAAAAATGATTGAAAGCATTATTTAGGCGTTAAAAAATAACCGGAAATATTATTAGCGTTAAAAAAATGATCGAAAACACTATTAGGTATTAAAAAATGACCGAAAATATTATTAGGTGTTAAAAGTGATCGGAAATGTTAAAAAAAATAATGTTTTAGGTAAAATAATAATATTTTAGATAATTTTTTTTCGATTTTATTATTTAAATAATAACAAAATCGATAACGTTTTATTTTGACCTTATATTAGGTGTCATAATGTAGAACTCCCCAGGTTATATAGGTTTAGGTGATTTATTTTTTCTGGTTTGAATTCAAAATTGCATAGTAATGGTAATTTGAAGATGATATAACTTATTTTGAATATCTTCATATGGAGAGCATGGTTGTATAAATGAGATAGACATATCGTAAGTTATTCGAGATCAATTTGTTCGAAGTTCGATAAATGCTCGACTTGAATGGATTCGACTTAAGTTTGACTCAATTTCTTAACGAGCCGAAACGACTTACTTGATATTCGACTCGACTCGAAAAGCCATCGATTCGTTCGAAGCTTGATAGAAGCTTGATAAATACTCGATTTGAATGGACTCGAGCTTGACTCGAATTCCTAACAAGCCTAAATGACTTACTTGATATTCGACTTGAAAATATAGTATATTAAGGTTTTATTATTTTAAAAAATAAATTATTAATAATATTAATATTTATGTGTTGATTTTTTTTAAATGTAATATAAAGTTTTTTATGTGTTTAAGGTTATGGTTCGAGTTTGAGGTTTCAATTGAGTTAAGTTTTTTTTTCATTTTGAGCTTTTACGAGCTTCAATTCATGGTTTTGAGTTTGAGAAGAGTTTGAAAATTTTAAGCTCGCGAGTTTTCGAGTCAAGTCGAGTTTCATTTTAGCATTTTTGAGTTAAGTTGAACTTGACTGGACTCGTTTATAGCCCAATGGAGAGAGAAGAAAGGAAGAAGAAGGAAATAAAAAGGTCCATCTTTTACGTGTTATAAGAATTTATACATAAATCTTTAGTGTTGATGTTAGGAACGTGATATTTCGGATATTTAATAGTTATAAGTAATTTACATATTATATAAAAGGATAGGATACGTAGATGACAGTTAAATTACGCTTAAATGATCGTTTGTGTATTAATTTGTAAATTACACATTTAGTATTTAAAGTATATGTTTTGGTTTATTTTAACACTTAAATTTTTAATTTTTTTCAAAATTATACCTGACATTTAGTTTATGTTTCATTTTAACAACATGTTAAAAATTAACATTAAATTTTGGAGAGAAAAAACGATAGTTTAAGTACTAGAACGGATTAAAACTAATAATTAAGATACTAAACTTGCAATTTATCCTAATTTTATTTATATTATATTACAAGAAATAATTTAATGAAATAAGATTGTAAGAGTAGACTTGGAACATGGAAACTATGTGACGTTGGTTATGTCATGTGCATAACATGACCACATGCGTTTAATTTGAAAAGAGATTGCTGCGTTTTTCTTTGATTCTATTTTATTATTTAAAAATAAACATTTATTTTGCTATTTTTTGAATTTTTAGGATAATTTTCAAATTTTTGAAATTTGAAAAAATACATTAGAAATTCGAATCATAAATTTTAAACATTCATTGCTATAATCCAATTTAAGAAGTCGGCTTCAAAGGAAAGTTTTGTCAGTTTCGATTCATCCCATATTTTAAATTATTATTATCAAAATTTTAAATAAAAATAAAAAATATTTTGTTTATTTCTCCAATGGATTCTATGGAAATGGGAAATGGGATTTCATTGTCATTTTTCCATTTAGGTCCTACATGTCTAACTTTAAGCACATTGATTGCGTAAAAAAGAATTTCAATTTATAATTTAAGTGATATTTATATTTAATATATCTAGAATATACATATTTCAAAATAAAGAAATATACCATATTATAATCATATTTAATGTATTGTTTTAAAATTTTAATATTATAATTTTGGGTATAGTACATAATGGTCCTCGACTATAAAGTGATATTTTATTGAGTCTTTCGACTATTACAAGTTATAAAATGGTCCCCTGGCTATAAGATTTTTTAAGTCCCCTAACTATTAAAAGTTACAAAATGATCATCTGACAATTCATTATGTTCCAAACTTGTCTTTTTCTGTTAAAAATTGATGGAAATTTGAGTTGAACGTTAATCTGTTGACTGAGATATGATATAATGTGATCCCAAAATCTCAAATGATTATCATATCTGAGTCAACAAGTTAATGTCCAACTCAAACTACTATCAATTTTTTAACGAAAAAGGATGAGTTTGGAACGCAATGAATAGTCGGGTGATCATTTTGTAACTTTTAATAGTCCGGAACTAAAACAAGCAATGCCCTATAGTCAGGGGATCATTTTGTAACTTTTAATAGTCACAAGATTCAATAAAACAATATTCTATAGTCGAGGGTCCATTTGTGTACTTTTCCCTATAATCTTTTATGTTATCTAAATTTTAATAATTTTAGAGTTAATTGCATCATATGTCCCTAAACTATAATTCTCGTTTTAAATTAATCTTTAAAGTTTTGAATATTTTAATTTCATTCCTAAATCATGACTCATTATAACTTAGTCCTAAAACTTTTGTACATTTCAATTTATTCCCCAAACTATGACCCTCATTCTAAATTGTTCCTCGAACTTTTGATCTTTCAATTTCAACCCCAAAATCATTCAAATATGTAATTAATTTCAACCATAGTATACCATAAATTTATTTTTTTCAAACATATAATAATAGAGCTTGGTCTAATGGTTTCATTAACGGGGGATGCAATCAACATATACTAATAGTTTGAGATGAAAACGAAATGTTCAAAAGTTCAAATACTAATTTAGAATGAGGATCATAGTTTGAGATGAAATTGAAATATTCAAAAGTTTGAGGATTAACATAGAATGAGCTTCATAATTTAAGGATAAAATTAAAATATTCAAATATTTAAGAATCAATTTAAAATATGAAGCATAATTTGAGAACGTGTGAGGTAATTGACTCGTGTATATTTATACTACCTTTGAACATGATTTAATATTTTATGATTTTATATCTCAAATTATAAAAAGAAGAAAATTGAAATATCCACCAACAGTCTAATATCAATTAGCATGTCATTTAAATATAAACCTTTTACTATTATACTACGTATCCGATCCACATAATATTTTTTTATTAAATTAAGGTAATTACAATATAGTATATGTTATAAAGATTCTAAATCATTTGATAATGAACGTTCAAATACTTTAACCGACTTTGATACTCGAATCCTAAACTTCTAAAAACAACAATCATTCTTTTAATTATTGAAGTAAATTAATTCGTGCTGACATAATAACTCTAAAAAGGCGTATTTAATTTGAATTCATAAGGCCTAAGAAATTGAATTGAAGTGACAAATCATTTGAAAATGGTGTTGTAGCACTCAACATCTCTCAATGAGTCCCTTTCACTACAGTGCCCAAAATACTCTGCAATCATATTCCATATATTAATATATAAAAAATGTCCTAATTTGTTCTCGATATGATTTTTCTATTGGTATATTGGATAATCATAAAACTCATTTTGAATTTAAATTATTTTAAATTAATTTTTTTTTCAGTTCTGAATGAAATCTTTACTTAAAATATGTGTATCTTTTAATTAATAATAGCCGTAACTCTTATTAAATAAAAAAGAAAATATAACAAATTATGAGAAAATTCTATAAAAATACAGTAGATTAAAATATAGGTAACCTACACGTTTAGTACTTTAATGACCAGTTTTGATCAATTTTAATATCTAAACTTTCATTTTTTTCAAAGTTAAGCTTAACATTTTTTTTTTGTTTCATTTTAGTACTCCCATCGTTAAAAGTTTAATGAACAGGCTGACATGACATAGTTCCGGTGGACGGAAGACCAATCTAAACGATGGACCACGAGAGAATGACGAGTCGATCAACATAGTCCAGTTTTAGGCCCATCAGACTGTAGACCATTGAGATAAAAATATCAATAAATTAAAGAGTTTATTGTCGATTTAGGGACATTGAAGTGTTTCCCAGTGAAATGAATTTTTGGTATATGAAAAATGGAAAACAACCTAAGAGATTTTAGTTAGTTTTGCATTTGTATATCAAAGAACTTTATAGTTTTTTATTTTAAAAATCATAAAATTTTAAAAATATATATAATTTTTAGAATATTATGGATTTTCACATATTTTTACAAAGTTTCCATTTTTTTTTAAATATTTTTGGAATTATTACTTAAAATATTAAAAAATAAGTAAAAATATTAATTATAGTTGAGGGGATAAATAATTTATTATTGATTAGTTTTAATATCACGTTCCTATTTGATAATAAAAATAAAAATTTAATGTCTGTTTTATAATTCTTTAAAAGTTCATGATCTAAAAAGATTGTTTTGAGACAATTTAGTAACCATTTTTGAAATTTACCCTAATTATTATTACTATTATGAGATTTCACATCCAATTGAGAGAAAGAACAAGTGATTTTGTTATGTTGGTAGGGGTTTTAGAGAGCACAGCTCATTGGTATTTATTGTTAGGGTAAATTATATCAGTGACTACTTAATTATAGCTCAATTTTTATTTTGATCATCATTTTTGAATTCTTGTCAATCAGGTCACCTAACTATTTAAATATATTCAATCAGACCACTTTTCGTTAACAGTTAACGGAAGCACTGACGTGACAG